TCAAATCTTCAGCAAGCGTTCACGACCGACAATGTGTCAATTACAAAAGCTGAACAATATTAAGAGAGCTCAGCAAGCTATAGTTGAATTATTCATTGAAAATAATCATAAAACAATCTGGTTGAAGGCTGAGGTAGTCGGTGATCTTCACTCGTACGCAGATGCAAACGCCGCATACAAAGCGATGAGACGCGTGCACTACAAGGGAGTGGAAGCGATGAACCTTAGGAAGTGAATTTCCTTTCGATTATTTCAGTTATCTCTTCAATCACCTAAAAATTCTTATGAGGCGAAAGATTTTCGTATGCCTGGAAATATATCCAGACGAGCACATCGTCAGTCTTGCTTACATTTAACAATAACATTGCATAAAGGAAATAGGAACTTCAACTCATTATTCGAAACCATTTTTCCTGTTTGATGTTAGTTTCTGAAATCATCTAAGTGAATGGAAAATGTATGATAGATATCAAAAACATTGATTAATGGAATGAACAAAAATGACAAATTCAAGGGGTCTGGAAGCCGCACGCGATATGATCAACTTTAACGATCGGCCAAATGTGAAGAAAGTTGTCATCGTATTTACTAACAAGCATGAGGACTGCACTTATCAACAAGAACACGCTGAACTGTACGACTGTTCATTCATTTCGTTTCGATGACGAATCAAAACAAAAATGTTCCATTCAAAATCAGTCAACTGAAGTTTATTTCGAAACTACTTTCAGTGAAAAAAATTATTTCAAATTTATTTTCAATGAACAAGTAGTAAAATTGACGCGGATATGAATGTGTTTGATCCCTTGTTAACGACAAATAGCTCCGTACCCTTTTTTCACGGAGCATTCAAGCAATTTTCGATAACCAACTGCGTTCCAGCTTCAAGCAGAAGATGAAAAAACCAGATGAAGACGAAAATCCATGTCGTATCGCCTCATACCTTGTTGAGAATGGCGTTATCGTATTCACGGTCGCCTTGAAATACGATGGAGCACAGGATTATCCGAAAGTGAACCTTGGAAGTCATTGCTTCCACTACAACTTTGATAGATCATTCGCGACAAATTTCCTCGACGGAATCTGCAGAGGTACGATCTTCGTACTTTTTCGCCGTTTGATCTGAACTAACAAGGTTCAAATGCTTTCACTGTGTTTGGAATTCTTCAGTGTATATGTTGCATAAAACTGTGTGCTTCACGAATATTTTCCGTTGTGGATCGTGACAGCAAAAAAAGCAGCGGTAAAGCCGATCGCTTCAACTGCCAGCAGTGATGGATTCATGGGATGGGAAAAACTTTTCTTTAAAAAGCATTTTACTGCAGTTTCAGTTGATTAATGGAAAAACACTAACAGAGAAGAAAATTATTTGATGAAAGGAAAAAACAATTTTCCTCTCCTTAAATAATCTTTGAGAATCTGTCTCATAATGGAAACGTATTGTAGCCAATTGCTATTGTCTCAAACCATACGTACAGTATTCGCATGACGATCGATGCATCGAATACGGTGAATGTCTTTACGTATACGGCCAGTCAGAGAGTTACGATGTTGCTGAAGAGACTTGCGCAGATGCTAAATCTTCATTTGTGGACGTCTTCAGTCATGATAAGGAACTTTTCATCGATGGTTCGTTGTTTATCACACATTACGCTTTGTTTGAAACGGAGATGCCATTCAACCGGAAATTATTGAGGCATAAATTATATTAAACCATAAACCATAGTAGTAAACCATAAATTCGTTTTGCAAGCGTTTTGGGCAATTCAATTGCAGTGGGCGGTTTGGACGATTTGTAAGTGCGGTTAAATTAATACCGATTGCGTTTTTTATTTCAATATTGGCAGTGTTGGAATAAATTCGTTTAATGGCTGATGTGTTGCAACCATTTTTCGAATTGTTCATTGTGGAAGGCCATCGCTTACAACTTTCAAAAATATGCTCGGTTCGATAGAATCACCGAGAATTTTTCATGTTCTGAAAACAGCTAGCAATCAGTATTCATAGGAAACTGCTCCGAATTCCTGTTGTT